AATGATCACTATTACATTATAACATTTTGTTTGAATGAAAGCAATAAATAAAGATTGAAAACAAAAAACAGTAGAACAAAAAGATATTAACTAGGTGCCATTATAAGAGCGTGTAAATCGTAATGATTAAAATTTTGGGATGATGATAAATAAGCACTGATGGTACATCAGTTGCAGCGTTGAAACTTTTATTATATTTTACTTAATTATATTGGTGATTCATTTTATGTTGGTTCCTTCTTTATCTATAGGTCTGTCAGAAATTTCAAACTTACAGACTCAGCAATCAGAAAGACCTTATGTCTTTGGGTAGCATAGGAACCCATGGACTCTTGTGAACTTTGTAAGAAATGAGTAAGATTTGTGTCAACATAAATTTCAAGATAGCTTCAGTTTTCTTTTCTGTATAATCGTGGTTTCTTGCTTCTGAAAATTCAGGTCTCCGATTTATCCATGATCTTCGAAAAACTCCTAGAGAGTGGCAATAAAAACGAAGTGAGTTAGCAAAATTAAAAGTTTTTAATAATTTAACTCTTCTTCTCTCTTCGTGACAATGATTTAGTACTTAATCGGTTTAAATTTCTTGTACTAAAAAGACTTAGAAAAACTAGACCATCTCTACCCTTTCGTTTATCACTTATTCTTATCACTTTTCCTCCATTCTTAGGCAAAAGCCTTCTTTTGAAAATTGGTTTCATTTGTGTTTCGTATACTTTCAAAATTTTAAGTTTATAAATGATTAATTACAATAAATGGGTTATTATATTAAATTGTTAGTTACTGTAGCGTATCTACCACTACAAAATTACAACTACAATTCACTAGTATATAAGACATGTTAACTCGACTCTATGTCGGGATACCTTTTCATAGATGACGGTTGACATGGTCTGTAACACCACCCCCCACATTGGTGACCCGGACGAGATTTGAACACGCCTACCTTGGCAGTAACGCCCATTTCGATATGAACACGCCTACCTAGACAGTAACGCCTACTTCGATGGATGATCCACATTGAACAGTTGACTTGCTACTTGTGACTGTGGCATTATCCACCTCCTCGCACTGTTGCTACTCAGTCTCGTCTCGATCACGCACAACGTCGGCTTGCATACACTCGACTGCTAACGGCAACACAGGAGCGACTACGACCGTGAAGTTAATACACCTCTCACATTCAGCACTAAAAAAATACGGTGATCTTAATACAGCTCTCCCGGCTTCGCACAAAACAGCAATGAATTAACTAGTGGCATCCATTCGTCGAATTCTATCACAGCTATAATTCTGGTGGGGAAGTACTGTAGCGTATCTACCACTACAAAATTACAACTACAATTCACTAGTATATAAGACATGTTAACTCGACTCTATGTCGGGATACCTTTTCATAGATGACGGTTGACATGGTCTGTAACACCACCCCCCACAGTTACATTAAATGGTTAATTATATTAAATGGTCAATTATATTAGATGTTTAATTATATTAAATTGTGGATTATATTTAATGTTTAAATTTCCTGCACTAAAAAGACTAAAAAAATAAGACCATCTCTATCATCTCTTTCATTTATTGCTTATTCTTATCACTTCGACTTTGGAGAGAAAGCAAATGGCAACATGCACTTGTTTTGTTTGAGTGTCACGTTTCATGTAATTTGGAACAATATATTTAAGTACCCATATTTTAGGCTATGTTCAAAGAAAGTGATAGAAATCATACTAATTAATCTCTAAAATATTATAAATTCGTATCCTGTTTCTGAAATTACTTTGTATTTTAAGAAATTAGTATTTTTGAACAAATCTTTCTATCATTTTTATTTTAATTTATAAGCTTTTTATCTGAAATTAAAAATGCCCTAGCATTTTTTTTCTTTTTTTACTTTTTTAAGGTTAAAATTTAAAAGCCTACTTTTGTTTTTAAAATTTTGCGCTATGAATGTACTAATGAGACGCATAAGAAAAATTGCTTACTCTCTTTGCACCTTACTCTCTTTTTACAAATACTTGATCTTGCCTAATTCAGGGATGGGGATTTAAAATCTAAACTTAGTTCTGCTCCGAAAGGTATTAATATTTTTTAATGACACTACTTGTCGAAATATAAAAGTTTAAAAACATTATATATAACAGGAAGTCACGGAAATGTTGCAACAGACTTTTAAGTTCTATTATAGCACATCATCAGGATTGTAATTGTATAGGAATCCCCTGTTATATATAACATGATACTGAAGTTGAACATTTCGACAAAAAAGATAAAAAATGTCATTTACAATTAAAACAAGCTGTAGTTTGGAAAGAAAAACATAATGCATATTTGAAGTCAGTGATACGAAAAGTATCTAGTAAAAGTTTCAGTAGGAAAAAATTATTTCCCTGGTGTTATTTTTACTTTCCAAATTTTATAAATCTAATTAGGACCTTCATCTCTAGTACACTATGATCACGCACCTCCCGGGATCACTGAAAATAAAATAGGCAACAAAAAAGATCGTTTCAACTGTGTATTAACATTAGTCCATTGTAGGAAAGTTCCTTTAGCTGCATATGATGACATTTCTTAGTCGCGGGCTGTAATGCAATTCTCGATCCCTATCATGTACCCCACCTCTGCATGAAGTTTTCAATTACTCTAGAGAACCGTGGTGTATAGGTAATATATATTAATAGGATATAGGTAATATATATTATTTTCTTGTATAGCTTTTTATACTATTTCTTGAAACCCGAAGAGTTTCCTGAAAGAAAACAGGATGATAAATTTAATTTTTTACGAAGAAAAATTTGAATTCAGCTGGTTAGTTAGATATATGTGATTAAATAATATCATTTTGAAGTAAACAAAATCAAATCGAAGCACTTGAACTTCTTGGACGATCAAATTTAACAGCGCCTCCTAATGCTATTGAGAAAAGTATGACGTAATTTAGATGATTCCTCAAATCGAATTTTTTTTAGAAAAATGCCAAAGCTGTTAAAATGTTTTGCCTTTGGTATGTACCTCAGCCAGGGACACTATTTCCTCATTAGTTAGAGCATTGAATATTTGATTTTACTTTAAATTACATATATTTTTAATATTTAAATCAGCTCTTCACACTTAATAATATTTTGAAATTTCGTAAATAATAAGTAACATCACATATTTCAAGCCATATATAAATGTGGTTGACATTTTGGCTATAATCAGAAGCGGCTTTATTTCAATGGGGCATTTTTTTTTCATTCGTTTTTTCTTATTTTAATTTTTCTCGTCTTGTTGGAGTATATACGTCCTATAAATATGTGTTTAGTTATTACCGTCGTTGAAAAACCAATCCAAATTTGAGTTCGAGGCTGTGTTGGTTATAAAAGTAAATGTTCCCTAATTATAATCAACACTAAAACAAGTATCAAATAGAACAAACTCTTTTACTATCACAAGTGTACACAAAGAATATATACATGTTGCCAACAAAAGAATAATGTAAGAAATAATATAATAAATAATATAATAAATAATCACTGCATATGCGCTCACGCATTTGCGTCTGGTAATCACTGCATCTGCGTTCACGCACTTGCGTCTGGAACAGAGGCTACCAATTTTCCATTCGGTAGCCTTGTAATTTCGAACCTAATCCAAAAGACAAGGAAACTGCTGGATAAAGTATTACCATCGTGGAGAACTTTTTGATGAAACAAACTCGCATTTGCGTTACATGGAGAAGACGACCACGAAGATTTACCTCTCACGTCAGAGTTCCTTTGCCATCAGACTAACCTCCCAAGGTTAGTCTGACTACAAGGGGACTCTAACCCGCAATCCGTCTACCACTGAGGATATTTTTACTTCAGCACTGTGGTTAGTGCTAGCCAGGTCCGGAATTCGCAACGACAAGGTATTGCTGGGCGTCGAACCCGGTTCAACTCATTTGGAAGCAAACGTTCTATCTCCTGAGCCAACTTAGCTATGTATTTAGATATTGACTTTTTTAAAACATACTTGTATGCATCATTGATTTCCTTTGCTTTCAGTTATAGCCCTAGATCAAGGTAGCTTTATTTTAATTAGGCTCATGGTAAAAATGTCGTTAAATGTAGAATCAAATTGAAAAAAAAAATTTTCAAATGGAAAACTCGGTTGTAATGCTAGTGCACATAATTATCTCTCGAATTGTAAAGATACATCTTTGTTTTAGTCTACGAAATAATTTATTTTCAAAAAAAAAAAAAAAGCTCTTAGAAAGGTAGTAACGGATCAATTGATCTTCGTAAACATTTCTTAGCATATAAACTTTCTTTTAAAACATTTCTTATTTTATAAGTATAAAAAATAGAAATTCAATTACAAAACCAATTTGATCTAATTTGTTTGCTGGAGAAAACTAATACTGTTTCAATTCTAAAGTCGAAATAAAAATCCTTTTTTTCATAGATTTAATTCAAATTAAATTTAAATTGTAAGAAAAGTTTAGTTTTAAACTATTGTCTGTAAGAAAGTAAAGATTCAGTTTGAACAAAACAAAAGGATCTCAATTAGTGAACTCATCCAGAAATAAACACCATGCATCAAATACGTAATAAAACAGCGATTTTATTGCTACCTCACAATTCAGCTAAGTGCAAATATATGCAAATCAAACGATGTTTACACTCATTACGATATTTTGCTGATATAGTGCTTTCCATTTACATGAATAGACTAACTAATTAAAGCTATAATCCACCCTTTCAGAGAAATTCGGTTTTCGTATACATTTGCGTGAAAGTTTGGAGAAATAAATCTACATTTTCCGAAGACCACAAAATTTTTATATACTTCTACTTTGCAGATAAAATTAATGTTGAGCTCGTAACCCACCTGTCTATGTTAATTGTTATGATCTAGTCTGAAACCTAGAATGTTGTTTAATTTTTATTAATCTTATGTTGTTAATAAGATATGAAGTAGTATCATAATGCATCACATTTCATTAAGCAAATTTAAATATTTATGTTTCATTTCAGATGTATACGGGAAAGATGCTAACTGCATTGAAAGAAAAATAAGGAAAGCTAAATGAAAACGTTAGGAGGAGGTATTACGTATGTCAAATGACTCTTTATACAGCATGGGAATGTTACTTTTAAAAAGTAAGGAGTAAAAGAACAAGTACTTTAAGCAAAAGCAACTAGTAAAAAGTACAAGCAGAAGTACAGGTACGAAACTAAAGAAGTTAAGATTTTTTAAAGTGCATTTTGAGTTAGTAAAAAATTCAAAGTGACCTTAAATTTCATTTAAAATATGTGAAAAATAATTTTTTTAAAATTTAAAATGCATTAAAATTAAAAATGCACTTCAAAATGCAGGAAAATGTTACAAAATTCATTGAAATAGTAAATGTTGAAAATATTTAGAAACCAAACTAGAAATCAATATTCAATCTTTGCAGATGAAAATGAATTTTAAGTTATGGCGGGTCACAGTACCTTTGCAACAATTTTTTAAAATAAAGGTATAATCATTCATTTTGAGGATGCTTTACATGCTCATTTAAGTTATAATCAATAATTTATCTTCAAAAAGTAATTAATCTGTTTAATTTTTTTAAAATTTTAAAAAAAGTTGAAAAAATTCTAAATTTTTAAATCCCTAAGGCTTTTTTATTTTAACATATTTTCAAGAAAAGTTTTTTTCATAGTGCTTGCAATATTTATCTTAATAATTTTGTGCATTCATTTGTTGATATATCAATTAGAATATTTTTTATAGATTATTTTGTAAAAAAGTAGAAAAAAAAGGGTAAAAATTCCTGTTAGGTATATATAACATGCCGTAAAAATTGTAATACCTCATAAAATGCTTATTCCATGCACAGTTTAAATAAGTGTATTATACTCAAGATAAAAAAGTTTACTTCAAAGCTTTATCTTAAATAGAAAAAATTCCTTAGGGATTTAATTAAGATTAAGACACAAAATTATCATCTATGCGAAAAAGCACTTTAAAGTCAGACTGCTGAGCAAGTTTCTGTATTAGAACAATTTAAAATCATTCATAACTTTTTTAAAAATGTAGATAGAGAGATGAATTTTTTTCTGTACATTTGAAATACTTTGAAGTTTTATTATAAGTAATCAAATTTTTTTTTTGGTATTTTTGTTATTTTTGTTATTTTTTGGGTACTGTGACCCCTTAATTTTAAAATTACTGAATCTTTATAAATCTTGCTTTTATTTTAACTTTACTTTACTTTTTTTACTTTTCTTACGGAATTTGTAGCAATAAGTTAATTTATTGAACAAATTCGATTACATTGTGATTTTTGTTTAAAGAAATAAGGAAAAAAATGAAAAATACATTCACAAACAGCTAAACCTCTTGCAATCCATTCAATTAAAAATTGTATTTCATTTTCCTAAGAGTTGAAGAGTTAAAAAAATAAAAATTTTTGATTTTTAAATAATGACAATTTTTTAATTTGTTGTTAATTTTTTAATAATCAAAAATTAAGACCAAAAGTTTAATTTTTTAAATGTATTCCTCGTGAACTAAATGTTATATGATAAAGTTCAGGAAGGGTGAAAAGATTGAAATTATATAAAGATTGTACAATAAAATATCAAAATTTTGTAGAAAAAAGTAACAATTGTAGTTTAAGTAATCTTGTATTTATATATCAAAATATATAGTAAAATAAATATATAGTCAAAATATATAGTAAAAACAATTTAACTGATTTAATGAAAGCATATTTAAATTTGAAAGTTTTTCAAACATGATAGAAAAATTCGAAAAATGTTACTCTGAGTTTCTTTTAGAAAAAAAAGTAACACGATTTATAAATAAATATCACTCAATATTTAAAATTAAACTAAAGGAAGCTGATGTTTGAAAAATACAAATTTTTTGTTTACAGCAAAATAAAAAAAAATTAAAATCTTCAGTCTATACGTATTCTGATCACACAGAAAAAATAAAAAGCTAAAATTTGCTTAAAAAAAGAACTAATTTGGGATGAAATATTTTCAGGCTTCAAGTCATCAATTTGGGTTCGTATTAATTTGGGTCAAGACCCATGCTTGTTTTGAATATCACTGTGTACCCATTTTTGAAAAAATAAACCAAATTTGGGTAAAAAAGAAAGCGCAATTTGGGTTGAAAAATTGCTAGACGTGGAGTTTTCTATTAAATAAATATTATCTAATGCGTAAATAATAAATGAAATTCTTTTAAAGATAAAGAATTACGGAGTTTAAATGAGAATGGAATATTCTTTCATGAAGGTGATAATGCTTAATGATAATGAAGGTTTAATGCATAGCAAGAACTATCAGTGTTTTTTTAAAACAAATTTACCCATTTAATATTCGCAACTGTAAAATTTTATTCAAATTTAAATTCAGAGCTTTTTTTATTAATTATTTTCTTAAGCGTTGAGTAAAATGTTTTTGAATATAGGCATACTAAACTTAACTCTATTTTGATTTTTGAATGTGTAATTTTTTAAAAAGGAATAAATTACCAAAATATGCCATTTTTATTTATTTTTTCATTAAGGAAGATATATTCAAACTGCTATGTTTAAAAAAAAACATTCACTAAATTTAGATGGCATAATTTAATTGTGTATAAAATATGAAATATATATAATGAATATTTAGATGAGTTTTTCCAGAACTTTTTCATAGTCTTAGATATGAGTGAAATAAATAATAAAACCGATAATAGTAGATTCAAATTTTTAGAACGCTTAAAGTAAACTAAATGTATAAAGCGGTTTTAATTAAAATTTCCATACATGAAACCGACTTTAATTTTTTTGTAATTATCTTACAATAGATTTTCAGGAGCTATGTAAGACATTTTCTGCATAAATGTTTCATAGCTTCAGGTCACAATTTTTAATTACTCGTCGTTAAGAGTAAAAACAAAACGAAGAAGACTTGTTTTAAAACTTTATTTTCAACATTTTGAGAAAACTTTCGAATAATTATATGCTTTTTCAAACATTTAACTATTTTAGTAATAAAAAGAAAGAAAATTAAAGAATTTTTTTTGCATAGGGGTACAATCTAATCTTTAATTAATATTTATTCGTTTGTTTCAGCACGAGGAGAAACTGAAATATCAAAACTTCAGTTAATTTTTCCACAAGAATTTAAAAGATGTAGACTGCTTAAGGCAATGCCTTAGTATACGACTACATATCTATGTTTATTTTTATATTCTCAGTTATAAAGTTTTATTTAATGTAATTAGTATACTTGGTTCTAGTATTCATTAAATGCAAAGTTTTTATCCCAAAGTTTTAATGAAGAAATAATAAGACTCTAAAAAGGTGCACTGACATTAATATTAAATGAAAGACGTAGAAACATGTTATGAAAAAAAGGCAAAGGCTAAAAATTGTTGATTCAGTATTTCAAATAAGATTAAAATTTCTTCCTCATTTGTGGCTGTTATATTGTTTTTGCATTAATTCAGAAAACTGTTTTAACTAACAGTAAACTGTTAGGCATGAAGGCGAGTTTTTGTTCCTGTTGATGTTTGTATTAATAAATATATTCTTACAATAAACTTGGAAGGGCAAATTGTTGTACTCTGTTTATAAAAATGGTTTTGATTAAGAAATTTTGAAAGTCAGATGAATTCGAAGCAGAATTTTAATAATTTGATTTGAATTTTTATGTGCTTTTCTTAATAGTTTATCTAAAAAAAAATTCAACACATAATGGAGGCAAAATAAACTTATTTTCGAAAATTTTTGCTTTGAAGTTGATATACATCTTTAGATAATTTATTAAGTTTGTTTAAAAGTTTATAATATAAAACTGTAACACTCTTTACATTATTAAGCAAATTAACTTTAGAAAATTTCATAATTATTAAGTTGAAAATACGAAATTGAAAAATTTAATTAAGTACATCTTTAAACATTGTCACTATCGCTGATGTTGCTTAAATTGAAATTTAATGCTATTATTTATTATTACATTGTCGCAAAGCACAAAGGAAAACTAAATATCTAAACATTACCTTATCCTATCTATGAACAAACTTAAATGCACAATTTAAATATTCATTATACTTTTGTTTTTCATTTTGTCTTCTGTAAAAGATGAAGTTTACAGGTTTTTACTTAATAATATCGAGGAATATTGGAATTCTATAATTTAGCTTTGCTAAATGAAAAAAAAACATGGTGAAAAAGCCACTATCATTTTCATTTTTAGTTCTTATGAAAGGAAGATTCTTCTTTTCAAAATTACTATTCTTATTACCTCACATTTAGTAAAGAAATGCAAAACTACGAAGTAAATAACAAAATAAATATGTTTTTTCTAAGATATCACGATAAAATTACCATATTTTACCACATTCACTAAATTTTATCACATATGTAAGAGTTGAATAAAAAGGAATTGGATAATAATTATTATTTGGTGCGTATAAAGTAAAGTTAATTTATGAATTATAACTAATAGATTGAAATATTTGGTATATGTACTAATAATTGGATATAGTCATGATTAAAAAAGGTTNTATACTTTTGTTTTTCATTTTCTCTTCTGTAAAAATAAAGTTTACATGTTTTTACTTAATAATATCGAGGAATATTGGAATTCTATAATTTAGCTTTGTTAAATGAAAAAAAAAACATGGTGAAAAAGCCACTATCATTTTCATTTTTAGTTCTTATGAAAGGAAGATTCTTCTTTTCAAAATTATTATTCTTATTACCTCACATTTAGTAAAGAAATACAAAACTACGAAGTAAATAACAAAATAAATGTGTTTTTTCTAAGTTATCACGATAAAATTACCATATTTTACCACATTCACTAAATTTTATCACATATTATAAAACTATATTTTATTGCTTATTTTACCAAAATCATTAAAGATTTATAGAAATAATTATTAAGTTTTTTTTGTTCCCTCAGAGCCAAAAACAATGTAAACTTTAGCCATATTATGCTAGTTTTAATCATACTTTTTTTTCTCAGTTTAGAAGGACAGTTAGCACATTTCTAAGAAAGACAGGACAGAGATATGTATAGAGTTACGGTGGGATTCGAA